CTTCCTGGTGGAAAAGAGTGATTCTGAGTTCTCAAAACCTCAGTCTTCCTGCGAGCCAGCTGATGCAATCTATGGAAAGAAGCTCGTCCTCTCCACTTGGCCTTTGGGCAAGCTCCCAGCCGCGCGCCTGCGCCGCTTCCCCAGGCGGTTTCGCTGGCTGAGCCCTTGCGCTGCGTGGCGAGAGCCACCGGGATCTACCGCGTCGGCGCGGCTTCCTTCCCGCCTGGGTCCCTTCCGAGCGCGTGTGCCTGCCTGCTCCTGAACGCTGGAGGATTTCGCATCCGCTACGTCTTCCTTCTTCCTTCTGGGAAACAACGTTTTAATACCCCGATGCCTTCCTCAGCTGTACAGCAGAGCGTGGGCTGAATTTGTATAATCAAGCCCTGCTGCAAAATGCTCTCATGAAGCAATCTTGAGGAGCAGAAATACAGAGAGTGAATAATAACTCCTCTAACCTTAAGCAAATCATTAGCCCTGGCTCAATATCCTTCGGAATGAAGTCTGCACTAGACTTTTAATGTCAAGGCCTTACCTAACAAATAAGACAATGAAGGTGAATTCCCCGTGGTGTACATCTGGTTGCTAATACTGGAATCAGTACTATTGTCATCATTTTAAAAAAATATCTTTTAAGTTAAGCTTGGAGGTGTGATTAGTAGTTCTTTATTTTTTTTCTTTTTCACATTGTAACGTTAATTTATGGCTGAGTTTCCTTCAGTCCTGTGTTCAGAAGTGCAGTACAGGTATTAGTGATGTGTTGTCTGTAACATGGTACTGTAGCATAGCCAATTTGTAAAAAAAAGAACAAAACGTGAAGAAAAACAAAAAAAAAAACCACAAAAAAGAAAACTTGAAAAAAATGTAAATTGAGTATTTTGTGGTATGTACAACACAAATTAATTTTACACAGAGAAAGATGTTTCTAGGAAAATGAAATTCTGATAATTCATACTATTTGTATGAACAAATAAAAACTATATTTTACCAAGCGACAGACTCGGTTGTATTCCTTCAACACTGCGGAGGTGGAGGCGGCCTCCCCACGAGGGTTTGGTGGTGCTGCCCCCGCCACCTGCACATCCACCCCACGTTAACGCCCGTGCAACTGTGCCGGCCCCACGGCAAAGCCCCGCCGCGCGCGCTGAAGCCAGCAGGATTTCATCACATAGGTGGGCTCCCACCCAGCACCCGGCTGTGTTTGGGAGCCCGAGGCTTCACTGGGGGGTGAACGTGCACGTGTTCTGCTCGGTCGGGTTGTGTGGGGGCTGATCTGTCCCGTCGACAGCATCTTCACCAAACACCATTTCAGAGAAGGAGACCTGAGGGATTGCCCTCAGTCCTGAGGATGGATGGCTTTGGTGTTCGGTGAAACCATCCTCCTGCGTCAGGGATGCTGGAGGACAAATTCAGTCCTTTATAGCCGGTGGTGGGGAAACTTCCCAGTGCCAAGTTTCTTTTCAAAAGCATTGCACTTAGAGTAGTGATGCTGGGCCAAACCTCTGGGGCCAGCGGTTGCCATTGCTCCCTACAGAGTCGGCACTTTAAGATATAAAAATTCATTATCATTAAATTCAGAGGAGTCCCAGGCCAGTGCTACACAAAGCAGCGCCTAAAGAGCGTTACAGGTTTATGTAATGTAGCAGTTGCCACTTAACTAAACTGAATTAAAATAATTTAATGTTTTTAGCAAGTCTTGCATCCAGTGCGGAGTAATTGATGGGAGTCTCAGATTGCCCGTTTTTCAGAGACCTTCTAGAAAAGGAGTCAAAAGTAAGCACAAGATTTAATACAGTGATTTAGGAAGAGTTCAACCTGGAAACCTCCAGCTTGTCAGGATTGTAATTAGCTGCTCCCAAACCCTAGCAATGCTTAAGCTCTATAGGTGCCTCATTTTTAAAATATGTATACATAGATTTTACTTTAAAATTCCCATGTACCTTTTGAGTGGCGCAGCTGGATGTGCCGAGAGCTGACCTCAGCTTGATGGAGCTGAGCAACTTGTTACCTCATTCTCACCTCACCGCGATTGCGTTCAAAGCCAGGTGCTCCTCTGCTGCTGCCCCAGCAGATGCCAATCCTGTAGGCACCCGAGGTCTGAGCTCAACCTGGTTTTGCAGCAGCTCATGGAGTGCTGTCCCTCGTTCTTGTGTTCTCTAAGAACTACTCGGTTCTGGGATGGACGGAGTGTGGGGGCTTCTCCTCCGCGGGGGACTGGTGCTGCAGAGGAAAGGGAAGGTAAGTCCTCGGGAAGTGGTGTTCAGCATCTGCCCAGTCCTCTGCATCTCCCTGCAGGCTATTCCCAGTTGCACCTGGGCTTGTGGATACTGGGGAGTGCTTCCCCACTCAGTTTGGGCTGGGCCCCATTCTGAGATGTTCTTTTGGGAAGAGCATCTAGAAGAGAAGAGTGTCTGTGTGGTTTATGGGATCGCATCCTGAACGCAGAGAGGCGTTTGCTCTGAAGGAGGTGGCCTGAAGTGTCTTGTGGCAGCTCTGGGGACTTCTGCTAAGGGAGGAAGTTCTCGAAGGAGAATGGTTTGGTGAAGAGGTAGGTGAGGCAGAGGCAGCCAATGAAAGGTTGCTGCTAATGATGGTGATAACTAAGGTGGATTTACTTCTTCTCTATGTTGGTGATGAGCTCTTGCTTTCATCTAAAAATCAACCAGGTCTCTAGCTTGTGCAAACGAAGGTGGCATTTC